TAACCAGCGTTCCAAAAATCATTAAAAAAAGTCTCAGCGGTGTTTAATTAATTCATTAATTCGTTCGTTAAGAAACAGAGGCGATATTTTATTAATGGAGGTAAAAATGTTTTAAATCAATCTTTAAAAAGTGGGAAACTTGAAACCGTTTCCACGCCAAGATTTTTAATCCTGTGATTCCCTGATGTTGAACATGAGACTTTTAATGTGTTCAAAAATATATTCAGAGTTCAACATCCGACCGTCCTGAAGCGGAAAGAACTGGAGCTCAGAGAAAATATCAAAAACACTGAAAATATCTCCTCTCCTGATCCCGTATCAATCTCCTCAGTCATTGATCAGTTATTGATTTTAGTCCAATATTCCTGGTGTTGGTTCATGTTCTTGTTCTTTTCTTTCTTCTCTAGTGATTCCAAATGTAGATCCCTCTGTTCCAGAGTTAGGAACTGATGTTCAGATGGAACAGAGTCTGAGACTAGGATCACACTGGGGGGGGGGGGCAGAGTCTGAGACTAGGATCAGTTAGAGACTTGGACTACAGTCAGATTGGGGGAAAAAAAAACTCTATATATCGCTGTGCTTATAGTATCGCAATATATCGCAATATATCGTATCATTTCCCCAGTATCGTGATACGTATCGTACACATATTCCTGTTTACTATGATGACAGTTTTATTACAATCACATTGTTGGAAAAAAAAAAAAACAAACACTCATACATATTATCGTGTCGATTGTATCGCAATATGTCGTATCGTGATACGTGTCGTATCGTGATACTTGTCGTATTGTCAGATTCTTACCGATACTCACTTCTACGGTGAGTCTTCGTTCATGAAAACCTGATCTTCAGACTCGGGTCTTTCTTCTCTGTCCTCCCGTCAGGTATCATGTGTGGACCAAAGGCCACGCCCCCACCAACTTTGCCAAATGGCGGACGGCGACCACGCCCTACAGGGTGCAGTGGGAGGCGGACTTCGAACCCTACGTCATGGTGCGGCGGGACAGTCCCGAGTACGACCGCCGCTTCGTGGGCTTTGGCTGGAACAAAGTGGCCCACATCATGGAGTTGGACGCACAGGTAACTGATGACATCATCATCATCTTCATCTTCATCTTCATCACCAGGATATTTATGATAAAGACATGAAAGTCGTTTAGTTTTCACTGAAAAACTATTTTTTTAATTTGCAGTTCTTTGGATCTGAAAATAAAAAATATAATTTTTTTTTTCAAATCTTAACTTTTTTATAGATACAGAATGTGACAATTCACATTTAAAAAAAGAATATTTGAAACTTTCTTTACTTACGCTCTCCGCAACGGGAAGATAAAAATCGTTTCTTTGTCAGCCGACGACGCAGAAGTCGTTTTGTTTTTCTCGGGCGGTGAATAAACAACGCCATGTCGGATCAGATGTCACGCTTTTATGGTTTGAATATTTTTTACTTCTCCGTTCCTGTGTCGGCGTGTAAAACACGCCTCGTCTTTATTGTATGTGTGAAAGTCAAAGGTGTTAAATTTGTCCTCTGTGGGGCGCTGTAAAAACACGAGAACGTGACGTCTCTCAGGTGATGAAGGGTTTGTTTTAGGCTTTAATGTGGATTTAAACTCGTAAAAACATCTGTAAAAAAAAGTTCAATATCCTTTTAATGTGTCATTTTGAACACACACACACACACACACACACACACACACCTGTCCTCCTGATGTATTGATTCTGTTGTTTTATCAGCTGTGGCTTTTTATGTGTCTGGTTCTGTCTGCTAACAAATGAGAGAACAATTATAGGACACACAACCACACACACACACACAGACACACACACACACACAAAATCAGATATTAGATACAGCCAGGTGTGTGTTTTTGCTGTGAAAACGTATTTGTATTAACTTAAATGTAAAATCTATGGAACTGTTTTTTTGGGGGGTTTTTTCGGAACACATTTTCCCTTCGCAAACAACACATAACTTAAATGTAAAGTCTATGGAACTGTTTTTTTTTGTTTTTTTTCAGAACACATTTTCCCTTCGCAAACAACACGACACAAATGTCACAAAAAATATATGTAAAATAATATGTTAGTTTCAATTCACTGACTTGGTGAAACCTGCTCCTGTTTAGTTGAACACCACACAGATACTCGCAGGAATTGAAGAAAGACACATGAAGATCTTCAACAGCTTTTTTTTTGTCTTTATAGCTAATTGCTGCCACCTAGTGGAAAACTATGTGATTTTCTGCAGTTTACTGTTAATTAAGGAAAAAAAAAATTCTCAACATTTGAGAGAAATTGGATAATTTTTTTCCACGGGCCCCCTGGTGGTCTCTGGTGGCACTCTGGTGTGCCGCGGCACGGTGGTTGGGAACCACAGATAAAAGGCTTCGTCAGTGCCGCTTGGCTGTGGGCCGCCGGCGCCGGAGAAATAAAAATATCCTCACGCCGGGTTCTGATTTCAGAGCTTTATGTTCCGAGCCCTCGGAGATAAACCAGCAGATACGATCTGACAGGAAGTGTAAACGTCGGCCGCTTAATTCACAACAAACGCAGGTTGGACTCTGGGAGATAAAAGTAAATAAACTATAAAAAGTTTAGTTGCTAAGTGTCCTTGTCCCCCAGTCATTTAATATCTTTTATTTTTAGGGAGTAGCCGTAGCTCTTTATTACAGCCCTGTGATCAGCGCTGCTCTCTTTGGCCGGCGGCTGCCGGAACATTCTGCCCTGGCAGACCGGACCCTCGGACCTGGTGAGGCTCCAAAATAGCTGAAAACACGGCCAGAAAAAAACCCGAAACGCTCAGAACACCTCGCTGCTGCGACACAGGACAAGAGAGGAGAAGAAATATATATATATATATTTTAAAAGAAGCAGTAACACATCAAATACTGTATGAGGTACTCACAGGTACTGTGAAGTATTTTCTTTAAGCCTCAGTTGAAAAAGTGTTTTTTTTTATCAGCTTCAAGTTCAAACTTAAAAAAAAAAAAAGGAATAAAAAAACTTTACTAATTCTGGATCGTTAGCTTGAGCGCCACCATGCTGCTGCTGCTGCTGCTGCTGCTGCTGCTGCTGATGCTGATGATTCTCTTTAAAGTCACTCACGGTTGAAGACGTGAAGCGAGCGTCGGCTGCTGCGTCCTGTGGGAGACGCTTTTTCTCCAAGAGAAAAAAAAATATTCTCCAAAGTCTCGTGGAACTTTTTTTTATTGTCTCATAAAAAAATAATCAGGAAAAGAAAGTTTGAACATTTCTATTTTCTGGCTACTGTTGTTATTGCTCATGCCTAACAGCAGGGGTCACCACCAGGGGGCCAAGAGTCAAATTCAATTTTTAAAAAAAATCACATTTTTATTTTTATTTCTTTTATTTCTAACGTCGTTGTTTGATGTTTATTTTGGAATCCAGTTGCCGGCCGAATTGGATGATTCGGTGGGTCAGATTTGGCCCACGGGCCACCAGTTGATTATCACTGCCTTGCAGCAGCAAGGACAACACCACTTAGGTCCTTCTCTGTGGGAGAGGGTAAGGATTATTAGGGTGTTGGGTTCTGGTTCTGGTTCTAATTGTGGTTCTGGTGTTTGGGTCTGGACTCCTCCTCCTCCTCCTCCTCCTCCTTCTCCTCTTCCTCCTCCTCCTCCTCCTCCTTCTTCTTCTTCTCCTTCGTCTGTCCATCCTTTTCTTCTGGTGCTTTGTTTTCCCACCACAATCCAAAAGCATTCTTTTTCTCTTTCCCCTGTAGGGGGAGCTGTAACCAATCACACGTGCCTTGTATGTCAAGTATTTCGGTGAATACAGATTACTGCGAAGTACTCTCTACTGTGATTTTGGGTTTTTTTTTTTTTCATCATTATTATTATATGTTGTTTATATTGGTGTAAATATAAACAACTAAATATTTGACGTGAAGAACGTTTGTCCACTGATGAAAATGTAGGACGTGGTCCAGGGACGCAGGAAGTGGGTCACTCCCCCCCCCCCTCCTCCTCCCCCTCAGCCACTTCCTGCTTCCTCCATTCAGCGTCATCGTTAATTACAAGATTGACCTTTGACCTTTCCTTTGTTGTGTGCTTTATTTTTACGTATATCTTTAGATATATAGATATTTGGTGAAGGAAGCAGGCTTGTGTCCGGAAGGTCAGAGGTTCAAATCCACTCACTCTCTGCTGCCGACCGGTCGCTATGGTGACGGGTTCGCGACTGTGTCTCACTGACAAATCAATCACTTTCACTTTATTTTGGGTCAAAATCAGTTGGTGTGTTATTGCTGCTGGAATAGCGCCCCCTGCCTGTAGACTAGTACATGTTTGTTTGTTTTTCGTCTGTGTAGCCGTAGACAGTTTTTCGTGTCTCTCTTCCGTGTCTTACGTCACTAACCGCCGTGCGTCTCCGTCTTGTCTCTCCCGCAGGAGTACGAGTTCGTGGTTCTGCCCAACGCCTTCATGATCCACATGCCGCACGCGCCCAGCTTCGACATCACCAAGTTCCGGTCCAACAAGCAGTACCGGGTCTGCCTGAAGACTCTGAAGGAGGAGTTCCAGCAGAACATGTCGCGGCGCTACGGCTTCGCCGCCTTAAAGTACATGACGGCCGACAACAACAGCTAGCAAACGCTGCACCTCCTCCCCGACGGGGACGTGAACCTCGGTGCCGGGGGGGCAGGGAGGTTTTGGGTTAGGGGAACACGGACGGGCTGAAGGACGCAAACCGACAGTGAGGGACTGCCGCGGCGCAGCCAGCTGGACCGGGGTCGCGACCCGTTGACCCCTGAGCTCCTGATGTGGAGTGTTTGAAATAACGGGCGAAGGACGGGAGACTTTGAACGCCTCGCCTTCTCTGTCAGAGCGTTGACAAGTGTCGTTGAGCAACGTGTAACTTTGTGTGTGTGTGTGTGTGTGTGCGTGTGTGTGTGTGTGTGCGTGTGTGTGTGTGTGGGTGTGGGTGTGCCTGCGGCCGGAGCCGGTCCTGCAGCGGTCGAACGAGAGGCGACGTCAGCTTAACATTCTGTTTGCACACTGCACAGCCGAACGCCTTCCAAGTCCCGTCTGATCGACGGCTCCGTCGACTCACACGCAAACGTCGTCTGAGGCCGAGCGGACGAGACGGAGCGGCTTTCTGACGACTGGCGTGCACTCAGACTGCCAGCGGAGGCGCCGTTCTGCCAACCATCTGCTGCCGTTTCATCTCCTCACCCGGAGCCATCAGAATAAATCCTTCTCTTTGTACAAGCAGGGCAGATCAGTAGGGGGACGACTGGAGGTTGTCCAGGAGGGGGCGGACTTTCAGGGTCCATGACCCGCGGGTTTGTCGTCATTGACAAAAATCTGACAGCAGCTGGTACAGCAGTTCTATTTTCTTCTTCTGTTTTTTTTTTTTCAGATTTATTCAAGTTCATTCTATACACACACACACACACACACACACACACGTGTGTCTTAACAGGAAATGACTCGGGAAACACGATATCATGTTTCGCTAAAAGTCAGTGGCCGATAGCTGTACGATAACCAATTAATTTTTTAAAATATTGACCTTTTTATGACCTTTGGAATCTTCACACTGGGATGCAGATTAAAGTTCCCAGAGGAACCACATATCCCTATCGGCGCCCCCATGTGGCAGCCTGTGAGTTGCAACCATGTACTAAATAGTGCCTCGTGTGGCCGTGTGTGTTGGTTGCAAAAACTCACAATTTAAATTTCCTCATTGTGCGACGAATATTATTATTGTTATTGTTGCAGACATTTCAATCAAACAAAAGCAGGAAGTGACACGTCCTGGTGGAGTGTGGCGCTGTTCTCCATTTTACTTTAGTTGGCGATAAGTTTTCTTATTAATCTCAGAAAAAAATTTCTTCATCAAGGGCTAAAAACTCTGATTTTATCATTTAACGCCTTTTTATTGAAATTTACACTCGAACATAAACATCATCTCTCTGTTTGTTGTTTTTTAGCCTCCATGCTAGCTGCAGCGGCTACGGCGGCTTCACGCCGACTCGGTGCAGCTTCTTAAAAACCGCAAAAAATATCTTTTTTTATATATAATTTGTTGTTTTGAAAAAAAAAATATTCTCCTGAAAACAGCGTTTTCACCGTGAAAACATCTAGTCACAGGTGAGGGCGGGCGTTAGCTTCGATTAGCCTCTGTTAGCTCATATGCTAATGGCTCCGTTGCTGTGATTTCAGGCTCACGATCACGACTGAAGGCCGTCGGCTCCGTGTTCAAACTTTGCTCCATTTCCGCCTCGTCTGGAATCACATAAACCTCCGATAATCCCGTTAGCTAACGAGGTTTCGCATCGTGCATCCCTAGCATCGACCTCCCGCAGATTGGTTCGTGACTGTTTATTACATCATGGTTGTTACACGTAAGAAGAAGAAGAAGAAGAGTTCGCAGGAGGAAGTTCAACACAGAAAAGTGAAAAGATCCGAGCGTTTATCGCAGGATTTTTTTCACGGCTGAGTAACGTTGAATTATTAAAGAACGTGAGCGAAGGAAAGGTGTCGTCCGACGATGAGCGAGTTTAAAATTACAGCACACACACACACACACACACACACACAGCTGCTCTGCGTTTTCATCGACCTTCTGTAAATTGAGGTCAGAGCAGAACGACGTAAAAGTTGGAAGAGTTTAAACTTTGGTTTTTGTTTTTTTTTAACGTGTCGACGGTTGTTCAGTCTCATCCTGTAGTTTCTGTGTGTGTGTGTGTGTGTGTGTGTGTGTGTTTTAACCCTTTCTTCCAGGTGTGTGTGTGTGTGTCCAGTCCATGACTGTGGCTCAGTGTTCACACACACACACACATACTGGTTCCACGCACACACTCAAACCTCACCTGGTTATTTTCATGCCGTCACCACTGGTCTCCACTGCTGCACCGTGCTGTCCAAGCAGACCCCCCCCCCCCCTCCCCCCCCCGTGCGTGTGTGTGTTTAAAATGAATACACGTTTTTTTCTGATTGTACCTGTCTGATCACTTTGCAGGTGTGTGTGTGCGTGAGTGTGTGTGTGTGTGTGTGTGTGTGTGTGTGTGCGGAGCTGCAGTGTGTAAGTAGGACAGTGCTGACTGATGCTGCTACCTGAATAAAAGCAAACATTCTACTGTTCCTCAGTTTCCACCTTTTCTTTCCTCCTCCACTCGACCAATCAGAACTCAGGAAACTTTCATTCACTAAATACAACAATTAGCCGGAATTAAATTAAGCAACAGTTTAGATAAAAATCAACATAATGTGCTTCGTTTCTGCCCAAAGAAAAAACTTCTTTCGTCTCCGGTACTGTTGGTAAAGTCTGGTACTGTTGGTAAAGTCCGGTACTGTTTGTAAAGTCCGGTACTGTTGGTAACATCTGGTACTGTTGGTAAAGTCTGGTACTGTTGGTAA